ATCTATCTATCTATCTATCTATCTATCTATCTATCTATCTATCTATCCATCCATCCATCCATCCATCCATCCTTCCCTCCCTCCCTCCCTCCCTCCCTCCCTCCCTCCCTCCCTCGCTTTCATAATCCTAGCATTTAAGCTCTTCCCATGAGATCAGTGGATGTTATGATAAATCCAGGGCATATGGCAATTTAATGATTGACCCAAGATAAAAACTCTATAAAGTACAGGACTTGCAGTACCAGCCCTCCCTTTCCGGATGGCGTCAAGCCGTAAACAGCCTGGATTTACACATCATAACTAAGCCGTATTGTGGTTTTTATCGTTTGGGCTCAACAACATTCTAGCCAACGGTGATTTATTAAATAAACTATATTTAAGCACACCCTGGCATTGGCCTGGGCCTGAAAAAAAACAAGAAAAACTTCTGACCACAGAACATCTTTAATTTTTAAAAGGAATATCTACAATGGGCAAATATTTACACCTGGAGATTCTGGTTACTTTCCACCACCCTCTCTTCCCTGCTCAGACGTAGGAACCACAATTTCCTGGTTTGGAATCAGCTGCACAAGGAGAAGAACAATGAGTACTGTGTAAAAAGGAGAAGGTTTATGAGAGCACAACGGGTGCCACACAGGGGGCGGATTCAAATGTTTTAACAACCGGTTCTGTGGGCGTGGCTTAGGTGGTGGGCATGTCTTGGTGGTCATGTGACTGGGTGGACGTGGCCAACTCAACATCACTCACATTGAGGTACGCATCTCCTCTCCTGGCCTCTCATGACTGTGGGGATGCTGCAACAGTCATAAGTGTGAAAAATGGTCATAAGTCACTTTTTTCAGTGCCATTGTAACTTTGAATGGTCACTCCACACAAAGTACCAGCAAAGGACGGGGAAAAAACTCCAAAGAAGTTCCAGAGACAGGAAGTCTAGTCCTGCCAAGAACGTAATAAGGGTTAACAGAGGCAGTTTCTGTAAGCAACACCAGAATGTTTCCTTCCTGCCTTCCTTACAGGATTAGCCCAGTAATTTCTTCTAACAACCGGTTTTCCAAACTGCTTAGAATGTTAACCACCAGTTCTACCGAATAGGTGTGACAAGTAATCTTCAACTTGCAATGGTTCGCTTAATGACCTAAGTTAAAATGAAAATTGTAACTTCTGGCCGTTTTTCTTTCTTTTTTAAAAATTAATTTATTCAACGTTTATGAAATTAAAAAGATATATTTACATTTTACAGCGTTGCTTAAGCAATGGATACACTTGTACTTTTCTTCTGATGGCGTGTTTTACATTGTTATTATAACTCCTTCGTCATTTTAAACTCTATATATGCATAGATATAGTTTATTTACATTTATATACACATCACCTTTATTTTTTCAAAAATGTTACCAGGTCATCAGATACCACCTTTTCTTTATCCAGACGTACCAGGTATCCCATGTTATGTAATATTCACTGTCTTGGTTATCTTTTAACAACTTACTTAGTCTATCCATCTCGGCACATTCATGTATCTTATTGATTTTCATATTTCCTGAAGGGTCATAGCCAATTTCCAATTTTAAGCAAAACTTATTCTAGCTGGATACTAATAGTAGACAGGTAATCCTCAACTTGCAATGGTTCGCTTAGTGACCAAAGTTACAACAGCACTGAAAAATGTGACTTCTGGCTGTTTTTCACACTTGTGACCGTTGTAGCATCTCCGTGGTCACGCGGATCAAAATACAGATGCTCGGCCACGGACTCATACTTACGACGGTTGCAATGTCCCCCAGGGTCACGTGATTCCCTTTTGCGTCGTTCTGACAAGCAAAGTCGACAGGAAAGCCAGAATTCGCTTCACAACTGTGTTCTGAACCAAACCGCTGCAGCAATTCGCTTAACAACTGTGGCCCAAAAAAGGTTGTAAAATGGGCCAAAATCACTTAACATCTGTCTCCCTTAACAATGAAAATGTTTGTGTGTGTGTATGTTGTGGGTCAATCGTGGTCATAAGTTGAGGACTAGGCAGTCTTAAACGGTAGGATTGAGAACTAAATTCATGCTAAACCAAAAAGGGTTGAATTATTGACGCTTTATTTATCCCTTTGGCAAAGGAATTGGGAAGTCAACTTTCTTTTTATACTTTTGTTCATTTCTATTGTTTTTGTTTTCTGTGTTCCTAGCCTACCTACGCGATATTATTTATTCCTCTTTATGAAGACTTTATCTTTGTTAGTTTTTAATCTTTATGTTCTGAAATGGCAGGAATGACAACAAAAAAAGACAGGAGCTTCCCTTGAATCGGAGGGAAGGACTTTACAAAAATTATGGTGGTTTGGTGAATTGGGATGGGGGGCATGCAGAGGTGGGATTCAGCCGGTTCTGACCAGTTTTGGAGAAC